CAAGAAGATGCGACCTTGTACAATTCCCGCAGAGACATGTATATATGTCTCTGATTTCTAGAATGAATCTGAACAGAATGTCATTGCAATCATGATTACAATTAAAGAAGGAGCTAATGCAATATCAAAATATCAAGGATAGGAAAATTACCAACAGACACAAAATGGTAGTAATGAATGAGGGTTTTGGAGCAACAATCTAAGTATCGAGTTATGTTACAAGAGGTAATGAGGTCATAAAAAAGACTGACGCAATAACCGGAATTGAGGAGGAGGGAGGAAGGAAGCCCGCACCACCACCCCCCCCCCCCCAAAAAAAAACCGAAAAAAAAACACAAAGTTTCCAATGAACAACAATATATCAAATGGTACGAGTAAAAAAATCAACAATACGATAAGGGAGATAATACACAATATATTAACAGGATATGAATGATAAAATTAACAAATACGTGATAGGTTTGAATTTAACCGGTGAAAAAAACCGAGTTCTTCGCGTGCATTTACATGCAAAATATCATCACCGATAGACTGTAGCATTCCCTCTTTATGCCCCGGTGTCATATTTGTGAACGTTAAATTGATATCGATTTTTTTTTCCTTGACAAATTTCGTATCGGTCTAAAAAATGGTTAACGGTATTTTTGTTCGGAGTCAAAAATGAGAACACGCGTTTTATCCTTACGTAAAAATAACATCTAAATCAACGTGAAGCCTTCGTTTTTAGTGGTTTAAATTCAGCTTCCCTTATTTGTATGCACGAACGTTTTTGTGAAGAGAAAATGAAACGATGAGATTTTGACAAAATTCAGATAGATTCCTATATAATTGAGATAGCTGTAGAGTTTTATGAAAATCCAAGTTGTACAAATTTTTAAAGTTGACTTTCTGAATTTAGTCCAAACTGAAAATTTTAGCTTTTTTTTACCTATTAATCAAATCCTTGGGTTTGACAGCAATAAACTAAACTACCAAATAACCTGGAATTTTGTAAGATCAATATATAATTGAGATAGATAGGCTGATTAAGACAGAGTCAAGACCAGTCGAGACTAAATTTAAAGGTCGAGACTGGTCAAGACTGAGTCGAGACTCGTTGAGCATTTGTCGAGTCCATATTCAGACTATACCAAGATTATCAATTACTCAATCAGACTTATTAAGTAAAGTCGAGTACAATTAAGTAGTGTCGAGATTATGTCGAGTCTTGTCAAGTAAAATCTGTGCTCGACCTTCCTGGTCTTGTGGATGGCCGTCACAAGCACTTGTCTCAGAAAAAAAAATCACATCTCTGTACCTGAAAGTGAGGTTAATGTACAGATATATATTTTGTTTCTGAGACAAGTGAGACAGGGAATTCAACCTCACCGTAATAACTATTATATTGTAGTGATACAAATCAGTATACTCTGGTTTGTTGTTATATATTATCAGAGACATATAATACATGTATTATATGTCTCTGATATTATATTAATATTTGTATAATTTATAACAGTTACATGTATATATAATTTTCATCCATTTGTATATCATTCTATTCTACTATTCTAATAATAGTGCAGTGCAAGTGCTTGGTGGACACTCTTCTGTAATAATTCGATTTTTCTAATAGATTGGATTTGAGTAGGCATTCATATTTTCCCGCAAAACGTTCTTCAGATATTCTTCCGCATGCATTAACACAACTTTTCTGTACGTGTGCATAGATATTATTGATTTTTTTACTTATATATATATTTCTAACGACAAAATATTTATACGATCGGTTACCACTCAAAAACGAAAGTCAAATTTCTGTGGCAACAATACATTGGAATGCCCTCACGGTCATCGTGATGAAAAAATGATACTCGTTCCATATTAAAAATATCAAGGTTTGATCAAGAAAGTACGAACTTCCATGGAGACGAGTATTCATCACATACAGGATCAACCTAAAACCGATAATGACATTCACAAAAATGAGATGACTGGATAAGGATACGCTAGACCAGGTCCTCCAGGAATCAGGAAACAGAAACAAAAATCTTCGGATACTCCATGGATCAAACAGACAATAATGTTCAACCAAGACATTGCATTGTATATGAATAAAACGTAGAAACTTAATTTTGTATTTGTTATCACTTATGTCTTAACAGTATCACTACCTCAAATAAATGACGTAAAAATATTTTAAAAATTCAAAACAGACTACCGAAAAACACTCATCGTTTCATTTTCTCTTCACAAAAACGTTCGTGTATACTAATAAACGAAGCTGAATTCAAACCACTAAAAACGAAGGCTTCACGTTGATTTACATGCTATTTTTACGTAAGGATAAAACGCGTGTTATCATTTTTGACTCCGAACAAAAATACTGTTAACCATTTTCAACACCGACACGAAATTTATCGAGGAAAAAATAAATCGAAAACATAAATCAATATCAATTCAACGTTCACAAATATGACACGGGGGCATAAAGAGGGAATGCTACAGTCTATCGGTGATGATATTTTGCATGTAAATGCAAGTGAAGAACTCGTTTTTTCACCGGTTAGATTCAGACCTATCATATATCTGAATAGAAAGAGAGAGAGAGAGACCACCTACACTTAATTGTAGCAGGTCCCTCAGTCGTATAGATGTGAAGATCGATATAAAATTGATATGGATGATATATAATCATGTTAATATCAGATGCTTTGCACACGCGTACGGTCGATTCTATTGAAGAACTTGATTGGTTGATTTTTTGTAAGTCCAGTAATGACTATTACTATGTGTTTTATCCATTTACATAACATGTGTTGTAAGGCCAGTGGCAATTATTGCAATACGCATTATATCTCGCACTTCAATACCGATCGTGGTATTTCTTGGTATATCTTGTTCCTTTTAATCTATTTGAATAAGTAAAATGTCTAAACAAGATTTAACTCGGAGAGATGGATACTTCATTTGTAAAATTAACATAATTAAGTCTTTCCAATTTTCTGTGGAAAGACCTATTGTAATTGTTCTGATTATTTTTTTTTCTTCTTCCGCCAAATTTCAAAACCTGTTTTGTGGTTTCGCAAGATGTCGCTTAAATGTTTTGCATGTGATATCGAACAGTTATTGCGCTTTTGAGACTGACCCTGTTTAGTCGAAGACTTTTTATTGTAAGAGTTATCTCCACAAACACTGTTTTCTTTGTTATGAGACCTCCTCCGTAACCGTAAAGGAAAGCGACACTTGCTCGCTGTATCCTCAAGTTTTTTGTCCAATTTTGACGGAAGCGATACAAAGACTCCATATGAGAGTTATTTCCCCTAATGCATTTGAAATAAGTGATATGCATTTGTAACTGGTCAACCATAAGTGATGGAGACCTATGGTCTGTTGATTTGAGGTCCTTGGTCCAAAGAATAGAAAACTAGGTCAAGGTCAAAGGTCAAGGTCAAATTCTAATTTTTGACTTTTCCTTGTTCCTTTTAAAGATATATATATAAAAGAACTAGTGCAACATGTTTGCCTTATTGTGATTGAGATATGATACATTTGGTCTAAAACAATCCAATGACATCTTATGAGAGTTATTGGGCCTGAAATGATTCAATTTAAGGTTAACTGATTATTATTCCAACTTGGTGCATGATAAAGCCATAGGGTCTTTTGCAAACTGTTGGTTGACATGTGTCCTTGCAAAATATCAACCAGAAGTGACCTGGAGTAAACCGGAAGTAGCTATTTTTGCACTTATTTCATGAAAAACTACCTAGAAACTATATATTTTTTAAATATGCATACATAAACCTATCATTTGAGACCGGAAGTGAATTTCACTAAACTGGAAGTAACTTATATCTCCCTAATTAAGTATATAGAAACCATATTTTTTTGGAATCAGTGTAAATAAAGCTATCATGTGAGACAGGGAGTGACATTTTTTAAACCGGAAGTTGACAATTATCTCCCTTATTTCAGACAAAAATATATAGAAGCATTTATTTATTGAATCAATATGAAGAAACCTATGCTTGGACGCCAACAGTAACTATGAGTATACCGAAAGTAGCTTCTCATCAATAATTTATAAAATTGATGTGGAAAGACCTTCAATTGTTCTCTGAACAATTGGTTTTTCATTCTATATACATTTATAGACTCCTTATCTGGATAGATAGGTTACTATAAAACACATATCGAGTAAGAAAAGTATTATCGTAACGTAATTGATAGCTTTTAAAAATATCCATAGGTAAAATAAGGTTATAAAAATCAGTATCTGTTCGATATGTAGATATAACACAAGATATGACGGATGCCACATGTGGAGCAGGATCTGCTTACCCTTCCGGAGCACCTGAGATCACCCCCAGTTTTTGGTAGGGTTCGTGTTGCTTTGTCTTTAGTTTTCTATGTTGTGTCATCTGTACTATTATTTGTCTGTTTGTCTTTTTTATTTTGGCCATGGCGTTGTCAGTTTGTTTTCGATCTATGAGTTTGACTGTTCCTCTGGTATCTTTCGTCCCTCCTTTAAGGGGTCATAAACGTGTACTCGTAAAATAATTGATACATTTAAATTAATTAAAGGTTAAATAAAGTAATATAAATAGTTATTTGTTCAATTTGTAGATATAAAACATAAAGAATCATCTTTTGTTTATCTCCCTTAACCATTGTGTGTTTTTTGTTCGTTTTGTTTGGGGAGGGGGGGGGGGGGGGGGGGGCTGCCTTCCTTCCTCCTACTCAGTTCTGGTTATTGCGTCAGTCTTTTTTCATGACCTCATTACCTCTTGTTACATAACTCGACCCTTAGGTTGTTGCTCTAAAACCCTCATTCATAACTACTCAAAACTGCCGTCTCATTTTTTATAAATTCATTTTTTTTTTATTTTGGGTTTGAAAATTACCACGAACAAATGCCTAACTATGTTTTCAGCTTTTTTATGACCAAGACAAGATCTTGAACATTTGTGCATGATCTATACCAAACATGTTTGGTATATAATCTAAGGATAACAAACCGAAACTTTCTGTGTTGTTGGCTTGTTGTTCAGGATAGGTTTCAGTTTTCCAGGTGGCTGATTCTCGCTAAGGCTAAATGACGCTGCCAGGTATAGCTTTTTTGTAAGTGTTTCTAGAAACTGCCTAGTAACAATCTGAAGAATAGTATCAAACAAGTAAAAATTTCACTTAACAAATCGTAATAAACAGGGAAATATGGAAAACTAATGAACCTAATAAGAAAAGAAAAAGAAATATTATTTTGAAACTTTTATTTACATACCATCTTCTTTTGGATTCATCAATTTACCAGATAATTTTGAATGTATTTATAAACAGTCACGTTTACATCCATACTTAAATCCGTTATATTTATTTATTGTTTTTTTTTTAATTATTCGAAACATTACAGGATCATTTTATGTAATCGGCACTAAACCTTCAAACAATAGATGATCATTTTATGTAGTCGGCACCAAAACCTCCCAACTTAATGGAGATCATTAAAATAGTCCGCACCAAACCTTTAGCTATACCTTAGGATCATTTCATGTAGGCGGCACCAAAACCTCCCAACTAAATGGAGATTATTAAAGAAGTCCGCACAAAACCTTCAAACTATACCTTAGGATCATTTCATGTAGGCGGCACCAAAACCTCCCAACTAAACGGAGATCATTAAAAAGAAGTCCGCACCAAACCTTCAAACTATACCTTAGGATCATTTCATGTAGTTAGCACCAAAACCTCCTAACTAAATGATGATCATTAACGAAGTCCGCACCAAACCTTCAAACTATACCTTAGGATCATTTCATGTAGTTAGCACCAAAACCTCCCAACTAAACAGAGATCATTAAAGAAGTCCGCACCAAACCTTCAAACTATACCTTAGGATCATTTCATGTAGCTAGCAACAAAACCCAACTACATGAAGATTATTTTATGTAGTCGGCACACAAACCTCTCAACTACAATGAGGATCATTGTATGCAGTCGGCAGCAACACCTTTTAACTTAATTTATAGAAGTCCGCATCAACCCTGCAAACTATACTTGAGGATAATTTTTGTAGTCGGTACCAAATCTCCCCTTATGTGTGGATCATTTTGTGTAGTCGGTACCAAACCTCCCAACTACATGGAGATCATTGTATGTAGTCGGTACCAAACCTCCCAACTACATGGAGATCATTGCATGTAGTCGGTACCAAACCTCCCAACTACATGAAGATCGTTGTATGTAGTCGGTACCAAACCTCCCAACTACATGGAGATCATTGTATGTAGTCGGCAAAAAAATCTGCCCATTTAACGAAGATCATTTTACGAGGTCCGCATCAAGCCTGCAAACTATACTTGAGGGTCATTAAATGATGTCGGCACAAAACCTCCTAATTACAAAGGATAATTTTATGTAGTCGGCGCCATCCCCCTAAGATGAGGATTATTATGTGTTGTCGGCGCAATACATCCCCCTAAGATGAGGATTATCATGTGTTGTCGGCACCAAACCTCTAAATTATATGCCGATTAATTTATGAATAATGCACCAAACATCCCAATACAATGAGGAATAATATTTGTTGTCGGCGCTAAACCACTCACTTCCTTGCGGATAATTTTATGTAACAGCACCAAATCTCCGACTTAAATGAGGATTAATATGTGTTGTCGGCGCTTAACTTCCCAATTATATGCAGATCATATTTTTTTTTTGTAATTAGCACCAAGCCTCGGACTGAATATGAAGACTAATATGTGTTATCGGCGCTAAATTCCTACTTACACGCGAATCATACTATGTAATCAGCTCCAAAACGCTGACTAAAATAAGGATTAATACGTGTTGTCAGCGCTAAACCTCCCACTTACATGCTGATCATTTTATGTAGTCAGCATCAAAGCTTCCACTTAGATGAGGATATTAATATGTATTGTCGGCACCGAACCTTAAACTTATACGTATCATTTTAAGTGCTTCACAACAAAAATCCCACTAAAATGAGGATCGATATGTGTTATCGGCATCAAACCTCCATCTTCCATGCGGATTATTTTATGTAGTCGGGAACAAATCTCTCAACTACATAAGAATAATGTTATGTAGTTGGTTCCAAACCTCCCAACTTAATGAAGATCATTTTATGTAGTTGCCACCAAAACCTCCCAACTATATGACGATCATTTTATAAAGTCAGCACCAAACCTTCTACTTACATAATGATCATTGTATGTTGCCGACATTTGACTATTTTGAACATAAATGTGTCAGAGTTTTGTTTACTACTATCATAAGAAAAAGACTAATAAACAATTTAAAAAGATATGGAAAATAATGTTAGAAATTAGACTTTTTAAAAAAAATAATTATATTCAATTTCTATTAATTTATTACTATATCGGAACAACAATGTAAACTGATGAACATGATTCCCCTCCTTTACTAATCATCACATCATTACTATACATTACCGGAACAACAATGTTAACTGATGAACAGGATTCCCCTCCTTTGCTAATCATCACATCATTACTATACATTACCGGAACAACAATGTTAACCGATGAACAGGATTCCCCTCCTTTACTAATCATGACATCATTACTATACATTACCGGAACAACAATGTTAACCGATGAACATGATTCCCCTCGTTATTAATCATCACATCATTACTATACATTACCGGAACAACAACGTTAACTGATGAACCTGATTCCCGTCCTTTACTAATCATCACATCATTACTATACATTACCGGAACAACAATGTTAACCGATGAACATGATTCCCCTCCTTTACTAATCATCACATCATTACTATACATTACCGGAACAACAATGTTAACCGATGAACATGATTTCCCTCCTTTAATAATTATCACAGCATTACTATACATTACCGGAACAACAATGTTAACCGATGAACATGATTTCCCTCCTTTAATAATTATCACAGCATTACTATACATTACCGGAACAACAATGTTAACCGATGAACATGATTTCCCTCCTTTAATAATTATCACAGCATTACTATACATTACCGGAACAACAGCAATGTAAGGGAAGAACATGATTCCCCTCCTTTACAAATCATTACAAAATTTCTATACATTATCGGAACAACAACGTTAACCGATGAACATGATTCCCCTCCTTTACTAATCATCACTTCATTACTATACATTATCGGAACAACAACGTTAACTGATGAACCTGATTCCCGTCCTATACTAATCATCACATCATTACTATACATTACCGGAACAACAATGTTAACCGATGAACCTGATTCCCCTCCTTTACTAATCATCACCTCATTACTATACATTACCGGAACAACAATGTTAACCGATGAACATGATTCCCCTCCTTTACTAATCATCACCTCATTACTATACATTACGGAACAACAATGTTAACCGATGAACCTGATTCCCCTCCTTTACTAATCATGACATCATTACTATACATTACCGGAACAACAATGTTAACCGATGAACATGATTCCCCTCCTTTACTAATCATCACCTCATTACTATACATTACCGGAACAACAAGGTTAACCGATGAACATGATTCCCCTCCTTTACTAATCATCACATCATTTCGGCTGAATTTATCTCTATGGTATGTGTTGTTAGCAAATATTGCAACTCTACTTGGTACACTCTTGGTCCTATTCGTGTCTATGTCTATTGTGTAGGAAACAGCTGAAATGTGCATAATGCTCTTTTGTTATTAAAAAGTTAAATCACAAAAATACTGAACTCCGAGGAAAACCCAAAAACGGAAAGTCCCTAATCAAATGGCAAAATCAAAAACACAAATACATCAAACGAATGGACAACAACTGTCATGTTCCTGAGTTGGTACAGGCATTTTCTTATGTAGAAAATGGTGGATTAAACCTGGTTTATACCGCTTAACCTCTCACTTGTATGACAGTCGCATCAAATTCCATTATATTGACAACGATACGTGAATAAAACAAACAGACATAAATTTAAAAATGTAAAATAGGGGTACAGCAGTCAACACCGTGTCACAATCTTAATCACAACAAAAACGAACAAATATTTATCAAAAAAGTACAAAAAAGCATATATTACATTTAACAACCTCGTTCATTGCTTACTTATTTTTGTATTTTATTTATGTATGCCAAATCAACCCATAAAGGATCGAGGGATTTTTAAAAGCTCTGGGACCGAATCGTAATTTTAACATTAATTCACTCTGACGTAGAATAGCGTGTTTGACGTCAGAATGTAAACGTCACATAGGTAGAGATATAAAATAATTTTGTCGTTCAAAGTATGCAAAAATTATAATAGAGCAATAACACAATGGCGGGATGTTTAAAGTACAGAAACACGTCATATGTACTTGTTTAATTATCGATTGAATACATACGTTTAGACATATTTTATACATACGTTTAGACATACGTTTATACATACGTTTAGACATACGTTTAGACATATTTTATTTTATAGAATACATACGTTTAGACATAATTATCGAAAATCATTCTGTTTTACATCGTGCAAATTGGCTTACGTAAGCTCGTTAACCTTTAGATATCAATCAGTCTGTTTTAAGTCGTTCAGATTGCATTAAGTAAGCTCGTTTTTCCGCTGATATAAATAACCTGTTTTACGTTATATTAATAAGTATTGTAATTTTCATTGTTATTAATACATGTTATATCAGTATTACAAACCTAATCTTGAACTCTATCCTATTTTTGGAAATTTATAGAAATTTATATGTGACGTCACATTGTGCTTCGATCTCTTCGGCTAACATATAATACGTTGTTCGGCTGTGCCTTTTTTATGTGCTGATTTAGTTTGTTTTACGTATTCGTTTTTATTCTGTAGTTAGTCACCACTTCGCTGTTAACATGTATATCAATTATATAGTCATTTTTATAAATTTACTGTTTGCAAAAGTATGAATTATTCTAAATACTAAGGATTTTCTAATCCCAGGTATATAACCTTAGCCGTATTTGGCACAACTTTTTGGAACTTTTGGTCCTCAAGGCTCTTCAACTTTGTACTTGTTTTGGCTTTCGAACTTTTTTGATCTGAGCGTCACTGATGGGTCTTATGTAGACGGAACGCGCGTCTGGCGTATTAAATTATAAGCCTGGTACCTTTTGATAGCTATTATTTGTGTGTGTCTCTGTCCTGTATGTTCTCCCATTTTTTTGTATTGTAGTCCTGTCATGTAATCTTGTCATTTTAATGTCATTTTTAACATTGCCATAAAAGCGGGAGGTTTGGCTAGCCACAAAACCAGGTTCAACTCACCATTTTTTCTTTAAATGTCCTGTACCAAGTCAGGAAAATGGCCATTGTTATATTATAGTTCGTTTCTGTGTGTGTTGCTTTTTAGTGTTGTGTTTCTGTTGTGTCGTTGTTTTCCTCTTATATTTGATGTGTTTCCCTCAGTTTTAGTTTGTTACCCGGATTTGTTTTTTTCTCAATCGATTTATGAATTTCGAAAAGCGGTATACTACTGTTGCCTTTATTTACGTCATACAGATTGCCTAAAGCAAGCTCGTTTACTTTCTAATATAAATCATTCTGTGTTACGTCTTACAGATTGCCTTACGTAAGCTCGTTTACCCGCTGATATAAATATAAATCAGGACCTCCTACGTCGCAGAGATTACTGAGCGTATGCACGCTAAACTGCTGATATAGATCATGACCTCCTAGGTCGTACAGATTACTTAACGTAAGCTTGTTAACCTGCTGATATAAATCAGGAGCTTCTACGTCGTAGAGATTACTGAGCGTATGCACGCTAAACTGCTGATATAAATCATGACCTCCTAGGTCGTACAGATTACTTAACGTAAGCTTGTTAACCTGCTGATATAAATCAGGACCTCCTACGTCATAGAGATTACTGAGCGTATGCACGCTAAATTGCTGATATAAATCATGACTTCCTAGGTCTTATAGATTACTGAGCGTATGTACGCTAAACTGCTGATATAAATCATGACCTCCTAGGTCTTACAAGATTACTTAACGTATGCTTGTTAACCTGTTGATATAAATCATGACCTCCTACGTCGTAGAGATTACTTAACGAAAGCCATTTGACTTGCTGATATAAATAGGATTTCCTACGCCATAGAGATTACTTAGCGTATGCACGTTAATCTGCTGATATAAATCAGGACCTACAAGGTCGTACAGATTACTTAACGTAATCTTGTTAAACTGCTAATATAAATCAGGACGGCTGACGTCGTACAGATTACTTAACGTAAGCCTATTGTCTTGCTGATATAAATAGGATTTCCTATGCCATAGAGATTACTTAGCGTAAAGTTGTTACTGATATAAATAAGTGCAGCTGACGCTGTTCAAATTACTTAGCGTATGCTCTTTAACCTACTTATATAAAACCAGACGCCGGACGTTGAACAGATAACTTAGTGTGTGCTCGTTAACCTGCTGACATGAAAACAGGGTTTTCTACGTCGTAGAGATAACTTCTCGTTAGCTTGTTAACTTTCTGATTTTAATCAGGACGGCGACGTTGTACAGAGTACTAAGTGTGTGCTTGTTAACCTGCTGATATAAGTCAGAACGGCCGACGTTGTACATAATACTCAACGTAAGTTCGTAAACCTGCTGATATAAAACGAGACGGCCGACGTCATACAGATTGCATAACGTATGCTCGTTAACCTTCTGATATAAATCAGGTCATCCTATAGTGTACAGAATACTTAACATAAGCTTGTTAACCTATTGATATAAAACAGGACGGCCGACGTTGTACAGATTAGTAAAAGTAAGCTTGTTAACCTACTGTTATAAATCAGGATGGCTGTAATATAGATTACTTAGAGTAAGCTTGTTAACATATTGATATAAATCATGACGGCCGACGTTGTACAGATTATTTAACGAAGCTTGTTAACCTACTGTCATAACACAGGACGGCCAAAACAGATTATTAAAAAGTAAAATACCAAGGAAAATTCAAAATTCTTTAATCAAATGTCAAAATCAAAATGTCAAACACATCAAACGAATAGAAAACAACTTTTCTGACTTGGTACAGGTATTTCCTTATGCATAAAATGATAGATTAAACCTGGTTTAAAAGCTAGGTTCACCTCTCACTTGTATGACAGTCGCATAGAATTTCATTATATTGACAGCAATGTGTGAGCAACACAAACAGACATAATAGGTAAAAATGTCAAAAATTAGGTTACATCGGTCAACATTGTTTTATAATTTAGATCAATATAAAAACAACTGTATCAACAACAAAAAACAAGATTGCATAAAGACACTCTATTAGACAAAAGCATACATAAGCAAAAATGAAAGAAAAGAATACAAAAAATAACCATAGCACAATAAAACAATGGCGGGATGTATAAATACCGAGCCTCGCTAAAAGGATATTACCAAAAATTAACTAACAGTAAAGGTTAAAGATATACATAGACAAAGTAAAAGAACGCTATAACACATAACTCAGATTATAAACAACGTCAATACCTAGAATCTATACTTCAAGACCATCACGTATTATTCATGAAATTGATACATAATATTTATCAACAAGGTCTAGGTATCTTGCCATGAACTCTTTTCGGAAGAGGACGAGACGTTTTTGACACAACTCTCCCTGGTTCATCAACTTTCTACTCAGACACTTGTGACGTTTTCTAAAGTCTGAGTAGCAGCTGCAAACTCTTGAATATCGATAAGTAGGGAAATGTATATCCCATATGCAGGTGAAGTTGATAAATTGCTGCTAAGGTGGGGGGAATTTATAATTTTAAAATTAAAACCGTCACGTTCTTAATAGATTCTGGTCCTGAGATGACCACTTATGTCAAATTCGAGGTATAAGTCTTAAAATGAGTTGGAGGAAGCCGTGTCTGTTGTTTCTTTGATTTCTAGTTCTGGAGGATATATTAAAACAACCCAATCAGAAAAGTGTGGATTGTTGATGGATAGAACATCATTAATATATTTGAATGTGAAATCAAATTATCTTGCTTCTTTGATCTTCTTGTTTTTGACAAGTGTCTGAAGGAACTCAGACTCGTATGAAAAAAGAGGTCAGCAAGGAGAGGAGCACAGCTCGTTCCTATAGGAATTGTTTGTTGAAAAAATCTACCTCAAAAATCAACAAATAAGCTGCCAATAAGAAAATCCAGCATACTGATCACTTGTTCCTCGGTGTATCATGTTTAACCCTTTTTTCACTTTTAACAAAATATGCCGTATGGTATCCAAAAGCAATACATTTATACATATGTGCTACCATTGTTATATTGAAAAACATTAGGCGTAAACTCGTTAACCTACTGATATAATTGATTACGGCCGACGTTGGATAAGTTACTAAGTGCGTTCTCGTTAACCTGCTAATATAAATTAGGACGGACGACGTTGTAATGATTACTTAGCGTAAGCTGTTTAACCTGCTAATAAAAATTAGGACGGCCAACGTTGTACTGATTACTTAACGTAAGCTGTTTAACCTGCTGATATAAATTAGGACGGCCGACGTTGTACTGATTACTTAACGTAAGCTGTTTAAACTGCTGATATAAATTAGGAACTGCCGACGTTGTACTGATTACTTAACGTAAGCTGTTTAACCTGCTGATATAAATTAGGACGGCCAACGTTGTACAGATTACTTAGTGTGTGCCTCGTAAACGTGCTGATATAAGTCAGGACGGCCGACGTTGTACATATTATTTGACGCAAGCTTGTTAACCTGCTGATATAAAGCAAGGTTTCCCACATCGAACAAATTACTAAACTATGTTCGTTAACCTGCTGTTATAAATTTGTCCATTCTATGTTGTACAGATTACTTAACGTAAGATTGTTATAAATCAGGACGGCCGACGTTGTAAAGATTACTTACCGAAAGCTGTTCAACCTGCTGATATGAATCAGGACGGTCGACGTTGTACATATTACTTACCGTAAGCTGTTTAACCTGCTGATATAAATAAGGACGGCCGACTTTGTACAGATTACTTAATGAGTATTTGCTAACCTGCTGATATAAATCAGGACGGCCAACATTGTACAGATTACTTAATGTGTGCTTGTTAACCTGCTGATATAAATCAGGACGGCTGACGTTGTACAGATAACTTAATGTGTGGTTGTTAACCTGCTGATAATGAATTAGGACGGCTGACGATGTACAGATTACTGAATGTGTGCTTGTTAACTTACTGATATAAATCTGGACGGCTGAAGTTGTACAGATTACTTTGTGTAAGCTCGTTAACCTACTGATATAAATCAGGGTGTACTACGTCGTAGAGAAATCCTTAGCGTTCGCTCGTTAACCTGCTTATATGACTTAGGGAGGCCTACGTCGTATATATATGTTGTGCGCGATAACTTAACTAGTATTTATTTTAAAGAAAAACAATCTGGTTATTTTTAATATCCATATCTATAGTAAATAATATGCAAATGTAGATATGTTAAGCAAATACAGCCCTCCCAGTTATTATGAGTCACTGAACTTCAATCCTTACCTATATTCCCTGAAATTCCTAACCCAGTATAGTTGAAACATATGTCTAGTTGAGCGCATGGATGGAAGTTTTCATTTTGGCAGTGAAGCCCAGAAGAATTTAATGGTATTGACGAAGGCGTAATATTCATTTGACACGTCAGATCTATTATTGGTCTTGTTCTCAATATCAAAACTGTATCTGACATGTATGAACCGACTGCAAAATCTGTAAATATATATTTGAATAAACTTCAAGGGTAGAATAAAACTTAAATCATGCACATTGTGAAGAGGGACTAAAGATACCAGAGGGGCAGTCGAAAACAAACTAACAACGCCATGGCCAAAAATAAAAAGACAAACAGACAAATAATAGTACCGATGACTCAACATAGAAAACTAAAGACTAAGCAACACGAATCCCACCAAAAACTGGGGTTGATGTCAGGTGCTCCGGAAGGGTAAGCAGATCCTACACCACATGAGGCACCCGTCGTGTTGCTTATGTTATTACAAATCCGGTAAATAGTTTAATTCGGTAGGTCACATTCGTGAAAAGGGAAGGGTATTGTAGTAGAGATAGAAACAATTTGTTTTTTAATTCTATTTTACGAACTACGCTGAATCAGTATTACTGTAAATTCAGAAATTATTGCGATGGTTTTATTTATGCGAATAATGCGACTGGATGAGTATTGCAATAATAAGAACTCGCATTCTGAAATATGATACATATATCTTAAGGTAGCACAATACAAAAGCAACTAAATTTTATCAAAACTTCATTTTCAGCTGTTTTTGTTACTTCTTAATATTACAAAACCCCAGAAGAAAAATAAGTTTCCATATCTTACACTGTTAATGAGTTTTGCTGTTAATTAGTTTTTATGAACAAATGCACGTGTCTGACTGATACAAATAAGAACATGTGGGCAATACTTTGTAGTTAATCAATAGAATCATTTGATAGCTTTATGACCACTGACCAGATATACAAATAACAGTCATAGAAAAGAGGTTGAATTCGGGGTTTATAGAAAAAAGAAGATAATGAAATCCAAATAAAAATAAATTGCTATATTGTAGCTGCCAGAAGGAAAAAAATGACTTGAAGCTATAGAGGCAATCAAATATAAATGAATAGATATTAAATAAATATAATTGTACAACAATTAATGACTTACTGCAAGGTCAATAATGATATAACCTCTTCCGCCAGATCTGATTTTTGATGCATAGGGTGTGCATTTTCTTTATACAATTAGAATTGCTGAAATGAAATGCTTTCTTACTGGTCAAAACCTAATTGATTTATGATTAAAGACCAATCCTGAAGTATCGCCATGGTAAATGTGTGAATGATATTGAAGTTAATGAGGTTCAAATAGGAAAATCCTTATTTATTCAATTGTGACACATGCATTTTTGTCATGAAAAAGTATTTCTAAATGAAATTAGCTCCTAGACGGGTGCCCCTATATGCCTGATTTTACCACATGTTGTTCCTTGACCAGTTATCTGCAAAACTATGTCTCAGATTTTCAATAACATCAATAGAACAAATTTTATACCCAATTAAATTAAGTGATTTCTTATGAATTAAGGTTGCAAACTTAATTGAAGGGTTATGAGAGAATGAAATACAATAGGAAAATTATGAGACATGGTTTTGGAGCTCAAACTGTGTTACACAAGAATCTATTCACATTTTTGGGATGCTATGAATAACAAAGAAGCTAATTTCATTCAAATGTAGACATCAGAATCTAGCAACTAATATCATAATAATGAATTATGTAATAATTATGTAATAATGAAATTATCACCATTTGAAAGATTAATCTTTCTTCTTTTTTTTGGTTCCTCAATTATGAATTTTAAAGCTGGATGAAAGAAATTACATCAGTTTAAAGTTGTCTGATTGAGGGTGAAAAAATCTTTGTATTGTGCTACCTTAATTCAGATTTTCTTGAAATCGCAATAATAAATCTCGCATTTTTGTCCATTCCTTAAAAATGGAACAATAAATGCACCCAATGATTTCTGAATTTACAGTATACTCTTTGGTTTTAAGAAATCATATAGGTGTGACTCTGAGAACAAACAATACACTTGATAAATATGGTGCGTCCGATGCGGGTTTTTGGAATGCTAAAACAAGTACAAAGATGTTAAAGTACTCTTAGAATTAAGGAGATATATGGAGAAATCTGATTTTTATTAATTATTTATTACTGTTTGCAAAAGTATGAATTATTCTAAATACTAAGGATTTTCTTATCCTAGGCATATAACCTTAGCCGTATTTGGCACAACTTTTTGGAACTTTTGGTCCTCAAGGCTCTTCAACTTTGTACTTGTTTTGGCTTTCGAACTTTTTTTATCTGAGCGTCACTGATGGGTCTTATGTAGACGAAACGCGCGTCTGGCGTATTAAATTATAAGCCTGGTACCTTTTGATAGCTATTATTTGTGTGTGTCTCTGTCCTGTATGTTCTCCCATTTATTTGTATTGTAGTCCTGTCATGTAATCTTGTCATTTTAATGTTATATTTAACATTGCCATAAAAGCGGGAGGTTTGGCTAGCCACAAAACCAGGTTCAACCCACCATTTTTTCTTAAAATGTCCTGTACCAAGTCAGGAAAATGGCCATTGTTATTTTATAGTTCGTTTCTCTGTGTGTTGCATTTTAGTGTTGAGTTTCTGTTGTGTCGTTGTTCTCTTAAATTTGATGTGTTTCCCTCAGATTTAGTTTGTAACCCGGATTTGTTTTTTTCTCAATCGATTTATGAATTTCGAATAGCGGTATACTACTGTTGCCTTTATTTAGTTAAGAAGAGTCAGGATTTAAATGAGGGAATAAAGTATTATTCTCTTTGGTTTTAAGAAATCATATAGGTGTGACTCTGAGAACGAACAATACACTTGATTACTATGGTGCGTCCGATACCGGTTTTTGGAATGCTCAAACAAGTACAAAGATGTTAAAGTACTCTCAGACCTAAGGAGATATATGGACAAATCTGGATTCTTATCTCTTATTTGTTTTAAGTAGAAATTTGACTACCTCGATATGCTACTCCAATCATGAATTATTTGTTGCAGACATTGGAAAACATGAATTCCCTTTTTCCGATCATGGCTAATTCTTAAGAAGAAATACTAATACCTTGTTTATCCCTATTCCATACTTGTTTTATTCTTGAGTAGAAATCTTTATCATTCTCGATTTATTAATATGTAGGAATATAAATTACCTGAATAACCTTACTCAAATCCTGATTAAGCTTCGAGTAAAATAATCACTACCTGAATATTTTAACTTCCATCTTGATTTATTCTGAACCTAAGTAATGAGTACCTTAATATCTTTATTCCCATTCTTTTTTATTTCCAAGTAAAGATAATGATTGCCTGTTTATTCTATCATTTTAATCCTGATTCTTCTTAACTAAAACAATTACTGTCTGTATATCCTTATTCAAATCCTGATTTATATTTAACTGAATGCATAAATCTTTAAACTGAAATTGAATACTAAGTACCTGTTTATACTCATTTCAATAATTATTTGTTCTTTAGTAGATATAATTATTACCTGTATTACTTATTCCAATCGTAATTTATTCGTTTTTTTAGATATAAAAAATTTTCTGTAATCATTATTCCAATTCTAATTTATGCGTTTAAGTAAGATATAATGATTTTCTGTATATCTTTATTCCAATTCTAATTTATTCGTTTAAGTAGATAAAATGATTTCCTGTATATAATAATTCCAATCCTGATGTATTAATAAGAAGAAATAATGATACCCTGTTTACCCCTATAACAATCATGTTTTCTTTTTTATTAGAAATATTATTACTTCAAACATTCATATAATTCACGGTTAATTTTTATTTGGAATATTGAATAACTGAATATCCTTATACTGATTTATTCTTAACTGTAATTATTATTACCTGTATATGTATATGCCAATTCTAATTTATTCTAAGAACAAATAATGATATTTGAATTTATTCTGAAGAAGAAATATTAACTACCTGTATATCCTTTTTCAAATACTAATTTATTATTAAGTAGAAATAAATATAACCTGTATATCCGTTTTGATCAATATCAACTGGGGTAGAAATGAACCATCCAAACGATAACAGATTTCGTCCAACCTCCTCAGATCGTATCTCCTGTGTGAAGGTAAGACTCGTAGGTCCACCATGATATATGTAAACTGAACCTCTACGATCACGCTGATATGGGGCTCCGACTGCAATATCTGAATCAAAGAGAATATAACTATATTACATATATATACATGTTTGCATCATTAGCACGGACCGTAAAAAGTGTGATTTTTACAAAACGAAATAATAATAGCAAACCTCTTGTTCATATGATTTGATAAGTTACAAAAACATATCAGAAAATTACCATTTAAACAGTTGCTTTATATTGGTCATAAGAGATATCTAGAAAATATGAATACACCAAGGGATTATTTATTGTCATAGGTTATTGAGTAAAGCAGGACCATTACTACTACATGTACACAAAAAAGGACAAACACTATTCAGTAACGCATCATAAAGTTGTCTAACGCTTCTTGTTAATACTAGTACATCACAGGTGTAAATCTTATCGATGCTTTACATCTAACAAGGATGTGTTTTCATCAATGACAATTTATATGCCAGGGAAGATGTAACTGTAAAAGTCGCTTTGAATCTAACAAGAATATGTTTTCGTCAATGACAATGTAAACGTAAGGAAAAATGTTCCTGTTAACGATGATTTAAATCTATCAAGAATATGTATTCGTCAATGACGATGTATACGCCAGAAAAGATGTTACTGTTAACGACGCTTTAAATCTAACAATGATATGTTTTCCTCAATGACGATGTATACGCCAGAGAAGATGTTACTGTTAACGACGCTTTAAATCTAACAAGGATATGTCTTCCTCAATGACGATGTATACGCCAGAGAAGATGTTACTGTTAACGACGCTTTAAATCTAACAAGGATATGTCTTCCTCAATGACGATGTATACGCCAGAGAAGATGTTACTGTTAACGACGCTTTAAATCTAACAAGGATATGTCTTCCTCAATGACGATGTATACGCCAGAGAAGATGTTACTGTTAACGACGCTTTAAATGTAACATGGATATGTTTTCGCCAATGACAACGTTACAAGTCTTACCAGAAGATATATACGTTAGGGAAAATTTCAAATGTATCAGACGTATAATATATATCTATGAAATGTATTTATTAAACGTATCGGCATATTACATTTACACAGGAGACGTATACGACATACAAGATACTAATTGTATCGACATATTACTAGTACATATACACAGGAGACGTATACGACATACAAGATACTTATTGTATCGACATATTACATCAACACAGGAGACGTATACGACATAAAAGTTACTAATTGTATCGACTTATTACATCTACACAGGAGATCTATACACCAGAGCCGTTATTAATTTATTGACGTTTTGAATCTAACCAAAAGATTTATACGCCAAAGAAGATATCATTTGTATGGACATTAAATATAACCAGGAGACGTATACGTCAGCGAAGATATTACTTGAATAGACTTATTAAATATAATTATGAGTTTTATGTATACACGTTAGCAAAGATATTAATTGTATCTTCGTTTTACAGGAGATGTAAACATCATTGCAGATGTTCATCGTGTCGACGAATGAAATCTAAAAAGGATATGAATACCTACGGAAAGATGTTAATCTTTTCTTTGTATAAAATATAATCAGGAGATGAATAGGGAAGATGCTAAGCTATTACACGTTGTCGTGTATTAAATATAATCAGGAGATATATACCTGAAGAAAGATGTTAATCTTGGAGTTCGGTATTTTTGTTATTTTACTTTTTATCGACCTTTCAAATCTTACGAGGATATGTATACGACAGTAAAGAAGTTAACGTCAGGTTAGTTGTCAATCTTTACGACGTTTTAAATTTAACCAGGAGAGGTATACGTTATGTAAAATTTTAATCTTATCGACAACGTATTCAATCTAATAAGGAGATGTGAACATCAGGGAACGTGCTAATTTATTAGACGTATCAAATATAACCATGATGTGTGTGAGTTAGGGAAGATGTTAATCTATAACAAGTATTTAATATAACCAGCATACACTTAGCACGCTTATTAAATGTTTTACGCCAAATGTCCGTTTATTTTACAAAAGACTCAGCAGTAACGCTCAATAAAAAGAAGTAAAAAGATCAAATGAAGTCTGAAGTTGAAGACCATTGAGGGTCAAAAATTCCGAAAGATTTTGCCAAATACAGCTAAGGTAATTTATTCCTTGGGTAGACAATGTTTAGCATTCCTTAGTACTTGTATTGAACATAGTTTTAAAAAAAGAAACAACCCTTTATGGAGTAACAGGAGATGTTCAAGCTATTGACGTATATTATACAATATTAAGATATGTTAACATGACAGGAGATTGACACCCTATTAACATACATTATAATTCTTGGAGATGTAAACAGCACAAGAGATGTTATAGCTATTGATATACATTATATTATCTAGAGATGTAAACAGCACAAGAGATATTCAAGCTATTGACATAAATTATATTTCTTGGAGATGTAAACAGCACAAAGATGTTCAAGCTATTGATGCACATTGTATTACTTGGAGATGTAAACCTGACAGGAGATGGTCACTCTATTGACGTACATGATATTTTTTGGAGATGTAAACAGGACAGGAGATGGTCACACTATTGACATATATTGTATTTCTTGGAGATGTAAACAGCATAAGAGATGTTCAAGCTATTGACATACATTAATTTTCTTGGAGATGTAAACAGGACAGGAGATGGTATTGGCATACATATTATTACTTAGAGATGTAACATGACAGGAGATGGTCACCCTATTGACATACATTATTTTTCTTGGAGATGTAAACAGGACAGGAGATTTTCCCCCTATTGACATACATTATATGTCTTGGAGAGGTTAACAGCACAAGAGATATTCAAGTTATTGATGCACATTATATTATTGGAGATGTAAATGTTACTTGATATTTCAAATTATTGACGTACATTATATTTCTTGGAGATGTAAACCGATTAAAAGATGTTAAAGTTATTGACGTACATAGTATTTCTTGTGGATGTAAACATCACAGGTGATGTTAAGTAATTGAGATACATTGTATTTTACTTGTTGATGTTAACATTATAGAGATGTTGGAGTAAATGACGTACACTATATTTATTGGAAATTAAAACGTCACTACAGGAGTTGTTCCAGTGATTATCGTGTTTTAAACATCACAGGAAATACATAGGGTCAGAATTGTACTTTTGTTTTGCTCACTTTCTGTAAGGTAATTTTGGACTTAAACATAACTTATATAAACGACGAGTGTCATATGTCAATCATTTCTATTGAAGTTAAGTGAGAGCGATTGTTTTTACCTTTGTAACCATCCTTGTTTAGGTCTCCTACGCACTGTATTGCAGAACCAAACCTCCCTGGAATGGACATTGTCAGTTCTTGTTGGCTTTTCACTAACACATCATCCTGTGATTGTGATACCAATATTACATTCAGTTTTAATTGTTCATATTAACATGATTTGAATTAAAACAATATATTAACATAATTTGAATTAAAACAATATATTAACATAATTTGAATTAAAACAATATATTAACATAATTTGAATTAATACATTAATATAGTAATATTTAACTGTATGTGAAGGGATGCTAGCTATTGAGATCAAGTCTGTTACAAACGGTATAGGGGTTTCCGGTGTTGAATTGCTGTTTCTTTTTCGCACAAGCGCTTGCAGTTTCAACGTTTTCAACGTTTGTATTAGATTTAGATTTTAAAATATTTTTACCTTGAGCATCACCGAAGAGACATTAATTGACGAAATGTGCATCTTGTGCAATAAAATTTTTACCGGTTATATTATTCGGTACAGGGAATGAAAGAATTTTTTACCGATAAAAACACGAGTTTTGATTGTAAGCACGCGTATGTTGTATTGATTTCAGCTTTGACTCCCTTACCAGACGATGTGTGTGGTAAAAATGAAGTAATCCATTTGGAAAATTTAAAAACAAATTTCCTGAGTTGATTGACAGTTATTGGATATCTGTGTCACATATGACGATAGGTATATTCCAATTGTCCCAGCTACAATTCCGTCTAATTTCCCCCGAATTTTTGCAATTTACTATTGATTTGCATCTGTTACAACGGTTGCTAATTTTTTTCGCCGCGTGAAAATTGATTTTCACTTCTGTACACAATTATTTTGTACATTTTGTCTAGCAGAATATTCATTTTCATCCTATCTTGGGTAAAATTATTTATTTGCAGCTCTTACAAGCCAGGATATTCATTTCCAAAACCCCCCATTAGGTAATCAAATGTTCGTGCCTTATGACATTCGATTGTTCGTTTGGTATCTTGTATAGTGTTTTCCGTTTTAAAACTTTTTTCTTGGCTCAATTTGATATATTGAAATGAATCTCTCCATAGAGATTTTAGAACAAATTTGCTTGAATCATTGTTACCGATTTTCATAGAACATGTTCTTGGGTTCGGTAAGACATGGCCCTTCATTAAAGTCTGGATCCAGAGTAAAAAAAGATATGTGATACTGTTAGTGAATTTTGTTTCTTGAATAGCACTCGATAGTTTTAGGGGCACAACATTGGGGAAGAAAAATATTAACGTTTCAGAGTAGTAAAAAAAATAATAACTAAAAAGCAAAGCAAATACAAAAGGATCTTAACAGAGATCAGAAAACTTTAAAAAAATCTACTTTGCCTGAGGAAGCTGCAACCGCAGTTAAACTAGAGTTGAATGACTAATGAACGGAAAATTATCAAACAACATTCTATGCATCATGTCATTATTAAAGAACTGAAGGACTGGACATTAGACTGAAGCCGCCCACAGGAATAGAACCCTGGGCACCAAAGACAAAAACGCCTAATATTGTTATCAGCGCGCACGACAAATGTTTCTTTCATAATCTTCGGGTACGGCGAGAAAATATTTATTTTTAGGGCGTAAAAAACCTCAAGCACACAACAGAGCAGCCCAAGCAGTTAAAGGTGATCTTTGTTTGATGTATTCTTTAAAGTGTAATTTGTCTAGGTTATGTCGACATTTGTCTGATGCAGTTGCTAAGGTGAACTATTCTGGCGGAGTTCTTATGGTGACCATTTTCTGGTGGACTTCTTATGGTGACCATTGTCTGGTGGACTTCTTATGGTGACCATTGTCTGGTTGAGCTCTTATGGTGACCATTGTCTGGTGGAGTTCTTATGGTGACTATTGTCTGGTGGAGTTCTTATGGTGAACATTGTCTGGTGGAGTTCTTATGGTGAACATTGTCTGGTGGAGTTCGTATGGTGACCATTGTCTGGTGGAGTTCGTATGGTGACCATTGTCTGGTAGAGTTCTTATTGTGACCATTGACTGGTGGAGTTATTAAGGTAAACTGTGGTGGATGGAGTTGTGTAGGTGAAATTTGTCTAATGGAGTTGTTAAGTGGAACGTTGTCTGCTTGAGTTGTTTAGGAGAACTTTGTCTGGAGGAGTTATTAAGGTAAACTGTGGCGGATTGAATTGTTTAGGTGAACTTTGTCTGCTGCAGTTGGTAAGGGGAACTTTGTCTGGTGGAGTTATTAAGGTGAGCCATGTCTGGTGGAGTTGTTCAGGTGGACTTTATCTTATAGTTGTTACGGGGAACTTTGTCTAATGGAGTTGTTAAGCTAAACATTGTCTGATGGAGTTGATAAGCTTAACTTTATCTACTTTGTCTGAAGGAGTTGTTAAGGTTAATTTTGTCGGTTTGAGTTATTTCAGATGAGCTTTCAACGAGTTATAAAGGTGAACATTTTCTAATGTCAATAATCTCCATTAAAGTAAATAGAGCTATTATTTTCAAAAAAAGATACAACAGGACCTTTTCCTTCAAATTCAGTAATATGAAAGCTATCCCAAAGGTAATACTCAAGAATAAAATTGTGTTCAACATTCTGAACACAAGTACTTGGTATCCTTCGCCTCTCTGTTTGTTTTGTTTTTTGTGACTTATGCCACTTGTTTTGGTATACTAGCCTGTATTGAGATTGATAGCAATGGTGAATTCATTGCAATTGTGTATCTAAGCTTTTGTTCAAAATTGTCAAAGCAAATAAAAGTAAAAGAACCACAATGCGTGTGGCTAGAACATTCAAATATATGATCCCAAACGAAATCGGCAAAATTTTAAAGGAGGTATAGAGTACACATAAAGAAGTTGGGGTATTGTCGGTTTTAAGATCACTTTCTACGGAAAGACACTAATGTGTTACTTATTAAAATGTGTTACGATCTAACTAAACTTACAACAACATGGATGAAGATGTAATACAAATTAATATTTAACACGGTGTTAAACATCTGTCTGAAATCACTGAAATGTCAGATTCTACATTGAGTTTTTAGTATATCACACTCTTCTTAATAAAGGTAAGGAGGCATAGACAAACACAAGCCTTTTGATTTAACAATTATACAACATAAACGGTGACCGACATAAAAACATGCTTTCCTATTTCTATGCTAAAGTTTGGAATTGTTTCGGCTTACCATCGGTTGCAGTATAAACATACAGATGATAAAGTTTAGTTACCAAAAATATACAAACAAATTACTACAAGACACAGAGGGAAATCATGACTAGGTTGACACAGTAGGAAATTATAACTAGGTTGACACAGTGGGAAATCATGACTAGGTTGACACAGTGGGATATCATGACAAGGTTGACACAGTCGGGGATCATTACTAGGTTGTCACAGTGGGAAACCATGACTAGGTTGACATCGTTGGAAATCGTGACTAGGTTGACACAGTGGGAAATCGTGACTAGAATGACACAGTGGGAAATCATGACTAGGTTGACACAGTGGGATATCATGACAAGGTTGACACAGTCGGGGATCATGACTAGGTTGACACAGTGGGAAACCATGACTAGGTTGACACCGTTGGAAATAATGACTTGGTTGACACAGTGGGAAATCGTGACTAGGTTGACACAGTGGGAAACCATGCCTAGGTTGACACTCGTTGCTGTTGTATCTATATGTTGATAGATACTACAGTTTTCGATATATAACAGTTTAAATTACTTACGGTATCGGTTCCATAATAAACATATACTTCGCCAGAGTCAATACGATTGAAGGGAGCTCCTACAATCAGGTCATCTAAACCATCACCATCAATGTCTTCAAAGACAAGAGCAGTCCCAAACCCACTTCCATGCTGCATCAACAAGACATATCATCATTATTAAAGGGAATTAGAATCTTCGGAGTTCTAAGAGGCGCATCGAGTTCTACTAATTGAACGATACTTTTCACTGTTCAAATTTTAATTGAAGGACAAAATTTGATCGTGTTTGTAAAAAGAGTTATCATTTATTGAACTGCCAATTTGCATGAGCCAAACAACACCTGTGGTGCTTATTCGAATATTAAGATGTGTAAAACGTTCACAAAAATGTTTATATATAACTGATTTAAGAGTATCAGTTTAGCAAACAAATTAATACATAATGAAAAGTGACGATTGCATAGCAGGAGATGCCTTCTTTGTCGTCACACATGGTCTCGCTCATGTTTGATTCCTTGTATGTTGTGAATGTATTTATGAGATTTTAATATCAATCGGTCAACTATTGTTTCATCTAATCAATTTTTCGCGACTTTTTCTATACATAAACAGATCGAATTGTAGCTGTGGCTTGTTGACAGCTGAATAATGCCAAAACATACTATTCTTTTTTCTGTGGTTTATTTGGTATTGGTGACTTGCTATGTTGTTGAAGCTATTTTAAACTTTCTTAATATCTCATAAAACATTATTTAGCAAGGGTAATCTTGACAATTTATAAATACAAACTTATTGCTGACATAAAAAAAAGTATAAGTCCTAGAAGAAACGTAAATCAGGACTTGGCATGCATTTGTTTGAGGATAGTTTTAAGGAGCTACAATACATACCATTTTACCTGAAACTTGTTTCTTTACCGTCATACTCTTATTTGTCTGAAGACATACAACCAATACCTAATAAAACCAACAAACTTTTTATTTGTCTGTAGACATACGATCAATACCTAATAAAACAAAAAAACTAATGATTTATCTGTAGACATACGACCATTACCTGATAAAACCAACAAACTAATGATTTATCTATAGACATACGATCAATACCTAATAAAACAAAGAAACTAATGATTTATCTGTAGACATACGATCAATACCTAATAAAACCAACAAACTTAATATTTGTCTGTAGACATACGACCATTAAAAATCGGTGTGAAATTGGATGGATGATGATGATGATGATGATGATGATGATGATGTGATGATGATGGTTGCTTAACGTCAGGTGACAGGTCAGATGCATATTCAGGACGCTAATCATTACACTGGTACAAAATTGTATATTGGGATAATAGGGGAAATCTATTATTTAAATAAAAATAATTCTCACCTCATTTGCGGGAATGCAGAGTTCGTTTACCATTCCAAACTCAGGACAAATATTCATTTTCCTTAACATATTGTCGGAATCTCGCTGAATCACTTTTCCCATTTATCAAAACATTTGACGGTTTTTGCAGTAAAGTTCCTATATATTCTAAAAACGTTTTCTTTCCACATTATGTTTACTTCCGATAACTTCAATTTCAGTGAGCATAATTCAATTTCATGTATTACTGACATGCTAAATACACGAGATCCACAGATTAAATTAACGTGATTTTTCTAAATAGTTAAAATATTAAGTTTTTATTTCAATTACAATTGAACTTTTTATATCAATTCGAGATTTCATTGATGTTGATCTGTAATATACATTTATATCTAATGAACTTGACCAACTTCTTAAAATAGGGCAGACCGTACGCGTACAGTCCGACCGTATGCGTATTTTGAAAAAGTACGCATACGGTCCAGACCGTACGCGTACGGTCCAAATACTAGTACTCATATGGTCTGGAACATAGATATACGATCAATACCTAATAAAACCAACAAACTTATTATCGATCTGTACACATACGACCAGTACCTAATAAAACCACAAACTTAGAATTTGTCTGTACACTCCCGAGGAATACCAAATCATACCTATAAATTTATTATTGGTCTGTAGACATACGAACAATTCATAAAAATACCAAAAAAACCCCGGCCAATCCTATAGTGATATTAAAGGGTGTTTTCAGATAAATCTTGTATTATGTTCAAGTACAGTCGTATTGGGTCGAGGTTAGCTGTATTGAGGCATAACCCAGGGCAAATACAGCTGATCAAGACTCAATACGATTGTGGGAGAACATAATACAGAATTTATATGAAAAGAAAACATCTTTATATGACACCTTAATTAACCATAACTTCAAAAAGCTGACCGTGGACATTTACAACTATAGGAAGACTCAATATGAACTATTTGGTAAAGACTAGACCGAGTCAAGGGAATAGCCTCAATTAGTCTTTCCTCTTCCAAAAACAGATGTTTTCTTGCTTCGTTAACCCATATATGATAAGTTTGTTCGATCTTACAGTAAAACCACGTATCGTTCTATCAATGACATTATCAAATCCATATTTGTTGATGTTGGCTGATCAATTATCATTCTAAATGCTAAAGTCACATCTTTAAACGCCATCCATGTCACCAACACAGTCTTTTTTCCTTTTCCAGCAAACGTGTAATCGCTCAATGCCTAGTGCATTTGAAAGGTCATGAATAGATATATATCTAAAGCTTTTCCTACTCCCAAACGCAAGCCAAAAAGTATCTGTCCCTATGTCACAGAATAGCGAAACAGCAATGACAGCAACATCAGTATTGACTGATCGAATCATGACTCATTTAAGTCCTTGTTTCATTGCATCAGACACATGCATCATGATTCTAGTGTCAGCCTCTTCATGTGAACTTGGTGCTAAACTTGAAACATCATCATGTGGTGGATAACATAGAACATCCTGAGCATTTATTGCTACATCCACCTTTTCCCTAAAATTTTATTGAGCAAGCTGCAGTGAATGAAAACTAAATAGTTCTTTCTTATTGTCGTCATCTATCAGAAATTTTGCCAATTTTGAGGAATTTTTTTTTACCCTGAACTCGTCTGTGTTTTACCTTTCCCAAAGCTCTTGCTTATTGTAACAGCCTTCAAACTATTGTCTATGTACGCATCCGAGACTATATCCACTGTTGTTACAGTTTCAAGGTGTTTCATAACGAGTGCATTTGGTATTATGTCCTTACCTTAAGAAACAACTTGAAACTGTAACAAGAGTGGATGAAGTCTTGCATGCGTATGGTAGTTGTAGCAACAAATGTCTAGGATGTTCTATCTTATCTACCACATGATGATGTTTCAAGTTTAGCACCATATTCACATTAAGAGGCTGACACTAGAATCATGGTGCATGTGTCTGATGCAGTCAAACACGGACTTAAACGAGTCATGATTTGAACAGTCGTTACTGATGATGCTGTCATTACTGTTTCGCTATTCCGTGACATAGGAGTAGACGAACTATGGCTTGTGTTTGGGAGGGCAAAAAGCTTTGGATAAATATCTATCCATCACCTTGCAAATGCACTAGGTAATGAGTGATCACACACACTTCCTGTGATCCATGCCTTTACCGGTTGTGATACGGTTCTCTGTTTGCTTGAAAAGGAAAAAAGAATGCGTGGGAGACATTGATGGCATTTGAAGATGTGACTTTAAAATTAAGAATGATGATTGATCAGCCTAAATCACCGTGGTTTTACTGTAAGATCGCACAAACTTATCAAATTGGGTTAACAAGCAAGAAAATAACTATTTGCGCAAAAGGGTTGCTAATTAAGGCTATTCCCTCAACTTGGTATAGTCTTTTCCAGCATGTAAAACGTGCAATATACTAAAGCGGGTGTTTAGGGGGACGAGCTTGGAATTAGCTCTTATGCTACCCAGTCCAGGCGCTAATGGATAGCGAAGGGACAAAGAGGATCCATGGGAACCCTTTTAAAAAACTCTTTCTGAGGCCTCATCATCTTGTCAGGAGCTTGTACATTGTGCATGTAAGAAAGGATGCCGCGGTCGTTGTAAATGTGAAAAATCATGTATCCCGTGCACTGCTTTGTGTGCTTGTGGTGGTGACTGTGAATAAACATGTATTTGTGGCCAAATAGTAGTAATTTTAAAAATGTTTTAGTACTTTATTGACTTTATTTTGTTTTAATCAATCTAACCAAAACTCTAAATCGAGGATGTTGATTGAGGACTCATCTTTGAAATTTACGCCATATTGTTTTAATCAGAATTTTTTTTAAATGCCTCCCTATCTGAATTAAAAGAGTTATAGTTGAGGAAGGTCTATACCAAATTTCATGCTTGAAGCAAGATGTGCACAATTCGTCTGAAATATGCTTGTAGCCGCTGCACTATATGGTCAATTGTCGGAGCCACAATCCCGTCCTTTTTCCTCCATCATGTCATCAACGAATTCGACGTATAACCGAATTGTTACTTTCCATGAGCTAAGACGACGGGTGTCATCAGTATTTGGTTAGCCTTCATAGCACCTGATATCAACTACAGTATTTGTTTTGGATCGTGCCATCCGTATCTGCTTACCCTTCATAGCAACTGATATCAACCACGGTATTTGTTTTGGATCGTGCCATCCGTATCTGCTTACCCTTCATAGCAACTGATATCAACCACGGTATTTGTTCGGGATCGTGCCATTCGTATCTGCTTACCCTTTATAGCACCTGATATCAACCACGGTATTTGTTTGGGTTCGTGCCATCCGTATCTGCTTACCCTTCATAGCAACTGATATCAACCACGGTATTTGTTTTGGATCGTGCCATCCGTATCTGCTTACCCTTCATAGCAACTGATATCAACCACAGTATTTGTTCGGGATCGTGCAATCCGTATCTGCTTACCCTTCATAGCACCTGATATCAACCACGGTATTTGTTTGGGTTCGTGCCATCCGTATCTGCTTACCCTTTATAGCACCTAATTCAAACACGGTATTTGTTTGGGTTCGTGCCATCCGTATCTTCTTACCCTTTATAGCACCTGATTCAACCACGGTATTTGTTTGGGTTCGTGCCATCCGTATCTGCTTACCCTGCCTAGCAACTAATATCAACCACGGTATTTGTTTTGGTTCGTGCCATCCGTATCTGCTTACTTCTCCGGAGCGCTTGAGTTCACCCTCGGTTTTTGATGGGGTTCGTGCTGCTTACTATTTAGTTTTCTCTGTATTGGATTTTAGAATGCTGTTTGATTTTCGTCGTTTTTCATGGTATCGTTTTTTTTTTCTTCTCCTTGATTTATGATTTTTTGCTTGTCACCTTGGTATCTTTTCCCTTTTTTTTAACATAAATTTTATTTTTTGTTTGAGGTTAAGATCGTTAAAAAAAAATGACAACAACACATAATTTTGTGCGTCCGAAGCTTTTTTTTTATTTACCTTCAGCAGGAACGCTCAAAGCCGAATATTTGAAAGCCGAGGATGTATTAGAACCGAAACAGTTGCAGAGCAATATGACCAAAAGGTACCTAAAAAAATAGCCAAATTCATTATAGGTCAACTTTGCCTGAGGGAGTTGCAACCTTAGTTTCTTTATAATTTCAACAAAATTTATAAACGGACAATTTTAGAAAGGTTTGTTATAAATCATGTCAGCACCGAAGTACTGACTACTGAGCTGATGATACCCTCGGGGACTGATAGTCCACCAGCAGAGTTATCGACCCAGTGCTGTAAAAAGTGACAACAGCACGTTATTACTTTCATACATCCGAAGCGCTTTCCTAGATTTCCCTTCATCAGGAACGCTCAAAGCCGAATATTTGAAAGCCGAGGATGTATTATAACCGAAACAGTTACAGAGCAATATGATCAAAAAGTACCTAACAAAATAGCCAAATGCATCTTAGGTCAACTTTGCCTGAGGGAGTTAAAACCTTTGTTTCTTTATAATTTAACATGGTAGACCTATATTTTCCTCTGTCACATCTTACTGATAGAACGTCGTCTTTGTCTTTGTTTACCCATCTACTGGAATTTACTTACACAGTCTATAATACCTTATGCTGTATCGAAGTACGGTGCTTACAATACCATTTCTAGAGTTAACTTACAAAGCCTATAACACCTTCTGCTGTTTTTAAGTTCGTTGCTCCTAATATCATAACTGGAATTTACTTACATAGCCTAAAATATATGCTGCTGTTTTGATGTACGTTGCTTCCAATACTACTACTGGAATTTACTTACATACCCTATAATACCTTCTGCTGTTTTGATGTACGGTGCTTCCAATAACAATCTGGAATTTACTTAAAAAGCCTATGACACTTTCTGCTATTTTGAAACGCGGTGCTCCTGTTAACATTACTAGAATTTACCAATAGAGCCTATAACACCTTCTGCTTTTTTTTTAAGAACGGTGCTCCCAATACCTTTCATAGAATTTACTTACAGACCCTATAAAACCTTCTGTTGTATTGAAGCACGGTGCTTCCAATAACATTAATAGAATTTACTTACAGAGCCTATAATACCTTTTTTGTATTGAAGTACGGTGCTCCCAATAGCATTAATAAAATTTACTTACAGAGCCTATAATACCTTCTGTTGTATTGAAGTACGGTGCTCCCAATAGCATTAATAAAATTTACTTACAGAGCCTATAATACCTTCTGTTGTATTGAAGTACTGTGCTCCATATTCAATTATTAGAATTTACTTACACACCCAATAATACCTTCTGTTGTATTGAAGTACGGTGCTCCCAATAACATTAATAGAATTTACTTACAGAGCCTATAATACTTTCTGTTGTATTGAAGTACGGTGCTCTCAAATACATAAAGAGAAATTTACTTACACACCCAATAATACCTTCTGTTGTATTGAAGTACGGTGCTCCCAATAACATCAATATAATTTACTTACAGAGCCTATACTACCTCCTGTTGTATTGAAGTACGGTGCTCCCAATAACATTAATAGAATTTACTTACAGAGCCTATAATACCTCCTGTTGTATTGAAGTACGTTGCTCCCAATAACATTAATAGAAAATTTACTTACAGAGCCTATAAAACCTTCTGTTGCATTGAAGAACGGAGCTCACAATACCATTAATGAAATTTACTTACAGAGCATATAATACCTTATGTTATAATACCACTAATAGAATTTACTTACAGAACCTGTAATACCTTCTGCTGTTTTGAAGTGCGGTGCTCCTAATACCACTGTTTTCGAACAGTCATGTCTTTGTGCCAGCTTTCCAGTTGTTATTGAATATCCTGTTAGATATACATGTTTTTTCTTTACTTTTTGATAATTAACAATTTAGCGTCGTTTTTTTTTATATTCATTCTAATTGAGTCAAAGAGAATATTTATGGCTTTAATCAACTCATCACACCTTCAGTAGGTATATCAAATAGGAATCAAGTGACTTTTTGTCAGACTTCTCTCGTTTTCACCATTTTTTAAAATAGGATGAAAGACCACCTATAATAACCTGACGACACTTTTCCCAATTAACTTTCGACGATGGACGATATTTTGGTCCTTTTTTTCAGAAAGTTTATAACCTCTCGGTCAGGAACAATGTTGAGACCCCCTGTAATTATATGGCCATAGGGATCATATCTAAACTTTTATGTTTCACAGTCTCATGTCGAAGGAGCATTATTTTCTATACTGACGTCTGATGTAACTGACTTATAATTAAAAATAAAACTCCTACTGGATTTTTTATACGAATAAGAAATTAAAGGTGGCTCTATATTAGTAAAATATGAAAGTATGAAGTTTTGAACGGTAGAGTCATTAAAAATATTAGACAAATTAATAAAATCAATACCTCTATTACTGTATTTTATTTTTATGAAATACTTATGATCTTCAGGTTTGTCAATTTGAGGGAACAGTCTATAGTGACAAAAGGGTGTAATAATACGTGTACATTCATATTTTGGACTGAAAAACGATACTGTATCACACTCGTTATAAATATCATGTAATTTACTAATTGGTAATTGGTCCAGTTTGCATAATAATTGATGTCTACAATTGTTTTGATTATGATAATTGATTTATTGTCTAAAGCTGTTACAATTACCTTATTGCTACAGCTTTCACAAACAAGGTACCTTGATATATTAATATCTATAAGAACAGGGTGTCTTAAATATAAGTTTTACTTTATAATTGTTAGTTAATTACATACTTTAATACAAACATATATAAATGAAAATCATCTTAATTGGTAATTACGTATTTTATGTTCCGGATTTGACCTTTACTTTTCCATCCTTATACAGTCTACCTGACACATATTTCACTCGTTTAGAAAAATCGTGCATGTGTCCATTATAATCAAAAGGTAAGGTATTATATGTTTGTTTGTTATCGAAATAGAATTCTACAATTGTTTTTAAGTATAGATACAAAATCAAGAAGCGTAAAATTAGAACGATGTTTATTTCGTTGATTGCGGTTTATGCGATTGCCATGAGACCTATGATTGCGTTGTCTTTTATCAACAATAGTCATGCTATCAAAAGAGGAAGTTTAAGATATGTTCCCTTTGCCCATGATGTTGTCATTTAGCCCAAGGGGATAAGCTGTCTGTAGTCGTTTAATATAACAAAGTTCGCAAAGTTTACGGGAATCTTCAAAGTGTTTGTGTTTTTTTTAAATGTTGGTAAATTAAAATTTTGAATTTCTTATGTCTGCGGAAGCGGTATAGATGTTCTTGTGTTGGTTTGAAAATTTCACGTCCAACTTTGCCCTAGATATCAAATACTACATTTCGGTTTTGTTCAAGTTACAAGATATATGAGGCTTTGGGTTTTTAAAATAATGTCAGATGAAAAGGAAAGAGAAACTAGATGTGTCGGAACGACACGAATGGCCCCGTCTCAAAAAGTTGAAAAATATGCAATTTCAACAACACATGTTGACACAAACATGCATATATAGTATACAGCTCTCAAGACCAATACTAGTTTGATGAAAAATTTCCTTGATCAATGAGTAGTTAAATTTCAAACTGTCAGCAAACAGGAAGTGGATGTACTGAAGATGTGTTGAAACAACATGAAAATCAGCATATAGGAACGAAACATAAACTTGATCTGTAACTCATCATGGTAGACTCACATATCAAAAATCAGCGCAAAATCTGAAGGCGTATAGAAAAAAAGTCTGTACTACTGTGATTTTCAACAATTTATCCAAGTCCAAAGCCCGTAATTTCGGCAAAAATTAGCAGAGCGGAACGAAACTTAAACTTGAACTGTAACTCATCATGGTTAACTCACATACCAAAAGTTCAAAACCCGTAATTACGGCAAAAATCAGCAGAGCGGAACGAAGCTTAAACTCGATCTGTAACTCATCTTGGTTAACTCACATACCAAAAATCAGTCCAATATCTAAAGGCGTTTAGAAAAAAGTCCCTATAACTGTGATTTTCAACAATTTATCAAAGTCCAATGCCTGTAATTTTGGCAAAAATAAGCAGAGCGAAACGAAACTTAAACTTGATCTGTAACTCATCATGGTTAACTCACATACCAAAAATCAGCCCAATATCTGAAGGCGTTTAGAAAAAAAGTCCGTATAACTGTGATTTTCAACAATTTTTCAAAGTCCAAAGCCCGTTATTTCGGCAAAAATTAGCAGAGCGAAACAAAACTTAAACTTGATCTGTAACTCATCATTGTTAACTCACATACCAAAAATCAGCCCAATCTCTGAAGGCGTTTAGAAAAAAAGTCTGTATAACTGTGATTTTCAACAATTTATCAAAGTCAAAAGCCCGTTATTTCGGCAAAAATTAGCAGAGCGGAACGAAACTTAAACTTGATCTGTAACTCATCATGGTTAACTCACATACCAAAAATCAGCCTAATATCTGAAGGTGTTTAGAAAAAAGTCCGTATAATGGTTTGTTGCGGAATGACGGAATGACGGAATAACGGAATGACAGAATGACGGAATGACAGAATGACGGAATGACGGACAAGGGTAAAACTATATGGCCCCGACAACTTTGTAGCGGGGCCTTAACAAATCTTCCGTTCACTGATGATGACCGAACAGTATTATCTGAAGATAATCTGGAGCAGGTTTGTCATTTTCTGGCATTGCACGGGAATATTTGTAGATATCCACGTGCGTTTTTGTTGAACAATCTAGCTTCAGAGGCATTGCCTCTTTTAACACAATTGTTAAATGTGCTAAATGTTGAAGGTGGATTTCGATTAGCGGCAGTGGAATTTATATTACGAACGCGGTTTTTTAATCACGTGGATATTCGAAGTGTGGAGAGGCTTTTTGTTATTTTACCGTTTCTTAAAATCATGATATTATATAGTTTAAAAGTAGATAAGTAAAAGAGGCCGACAGTCAAAGCTTTGAATTGGGATTATGTTTAGGAATGATATCAAATTTTGCAAATGTGGTTTAGAATATAAACAAAGGCAACAGTAGTATACCGCTGTTCAATAGTCATAATTCAATTAAGCAAAAACAAATCCAGGTAACAAACTAAAAACCGAGGGAACACATCAACTATAAGAGGAAAACAACGGAACAACAGAAACACTTAACTACAACAAAAGCAAACGCCAACATACATAGAAACGGACTGTGTGATAACAACTGACATATTCCTGACTTGGTAAGGACATTTTAAGAAAAAAATGGTGGGTTGAACCAGGTTTTATGGCTAGCCAAACCTCCCGCTTATATGGCAATGTTAAACATATAGCTCAAATGACAACACTACGTACAGTACAAAAAAACGCAAGAACACTCAGCACAGAGAAATACATAAATAGATAATATAATAGTACATTACAACATGTAAACCGCAGAATAAAAAGGATACCTCCCATTAATTTACGACAACACCCCAGGACACCACAAATGAAATATAAACTGCGCGTCACATGAATGGATCAAAGTCATAAAGAGTGACGTATTTTTTGTCATGTTTATATTATCACAGGTAAATTTCTAAGAATAAAATAGATTTGTTTAATTTATAGACACGTACAAGAATATAAATTTGGATTATGTTTGTAATGGTGTTATTACTTGTATTTTCTAACCATGTTGGTTTTTCTTCTAAATCAAAAAAGTGTATAAACAAAAAAATGCTGTGCATGTAGTAGTTTTATACTTAAAATCATATAAATGAACTGAAGTAGCTGATTTTTTATCTTAACTTATAAATACATATAATTTAATTTTTGATGTAACGCGTCTTCCGATTGGCTGACGTTGTTTTGTTTATCAGCTCATAGACATAATTTTGTCATGTGACCTTGACGTCATCAACGTTTTTTCATGATTTACTCCGGTTTAAAATGGAATTAGGATTAAATTATAAGAAATGACTGTAATATTTTTTCTGTCTATTCGAAATAACATAAAAAATGTGGTGCACACTTTAAAATAACCCGCTACGCGGGTTATTCAGTGTGCACCACATTTTTTATGTTATTTCTTCATAGACAGAAAAAATATTACAGTCATTTCTTAAATAGAAAATAAAAAAAGAAATAAAATAACTGTAATATAAGGCAATAACATGTAAGACCAAGTGATATGGGACTTTTTCAGTCGTGTAGAAAGAGAATGTATGATGGCATGAGCTTTTTTTTTATTGGCGTTGCCCAGAAAACAGCCATAAGTAGATATTACCAATGGTATTTTAAACTCGAGAATGTTTATCGTCTACGTCTCATATCAGGGCTGTCGCCATTCGATAAAATTGTAACTGAGAAACACCCTCATTTTTGAAAAACCATCGATAATCTTTTTATGTAGATGGACACGATTGACACTGCAAATACATGTATGTATCGCAACTGTTCAACTGTTCCTGGCACAACACATGAAAACATTGAAGTTGTTGAAGATAAACAGTTTGACCAAGAAATTTTACATCTAGATGAAACTGGTGTACAAAGCTTTCTTGATAAGCAACAAAACAAAAAACACTGCAAAAAAAAAATCATTATATGATCTTGCATTAGTAACCAGGTTTTCAGAAAGAAAAATGATATTAGAGAAATACAAGCCATACCAGTTGCTGAGCTTGACCCTCTTCTTGCCATCTTTGTGCTTACTGTACGAAAAGAGATAGCCAAGAGTATGAACCATCAACTGTGCGTGTCTTAATAAGTAGTGTTGAGAGAAAACTCGGTAAACAACATCACCGTAAAATTTAGGATGTGCTATTCCGTCTGAAATAAGTTTTTTTTACAGGTACAGCCAAACTT